GCGATAAGATGTTGAAACAACGAGTAATTAACTATCATTCTCAACGAATCAATGAATCATCAAAATTTGTGTATAATGCCTTGTGGTGAAGTGGTCAGTCGGTGTTCAGTGGCAACTGAATACTACTTCAATCTGAAAACGAAGCTGTGAGCTAACATAAAAGTGTTCTGTTGATAAGATTTCTCAAGTTGTCTCAATTTTCTTGATTTGTCCAGTCCTGCAAATGTGAAGTAGAATGTCACTTGAGGCAATTTGTGATTTCATGAAATAGTTTGCCCCCCAATCCAATTTTTATTGTGACATTGATAAAAGCTCAGCTTATTTAGCCTTGAAATGATGAAGTATATGATGAAGTAGAATATAGTTCAAGGCAGTTTGTGATTCCATGAAATGGGAGGTTTTCTGGTGATGAAGCATATTATAAGGTGGAATGTCGCCTGAGGCCGTTTGTGACTTCATAAAATAACATGCCCTACAATCCAATGGTGAAGCAAATGATGAAGTACAATATCGTTAAGGCAGTTTGTGATTCCATGAAATGGCATGTCTTCCAGTCAGAATTATATAATAACATTTTTGAAATCTCAGCTTAGGTAGCCTCAAAATGATGAAGTATATGATGAGGTAGAACTTCGCTTGAGGCCGTTAGTGGTTTCATAAAATAGCATGTCCTCCAATCCAATTTTTATTGTGACATTGATAAAAGCTCAGCTTATTTAGCCTTGAAATGATAAAGCATATGATGAGATGAGGCTTATTCAGCCATGAGATGATGAAGCATATGATGAAATAGAATATAGGTCAAGGCAGTTTGTGATTCCATGAAATGGCTTGTCCTCCAGTCAGAATTAAATAATAACATTATTGAAATCTCAGCTTAGCTAGCCTCAAAATAATGAAGCATATGATGAAATAGAATGTAGCTCGAGGCAATTTGTGATTTCATCAAATAGCATGCCCTAGAGTCCAATTTTTATTGTAACACTGATGCCTATTCAGTCTTGAGATGATGAGGCATATGATGAAGTAGAATATCGTTCAAGGCAGTTTGTGATTCCATACAGTGGCAACTGAATACTACTTCAATCTGAAAACGAAGCTGTGAGCTAACATAAAAGTGTTCTGTTGATAAGATTTCTCAAGTTGTCTCAATTTTTTTGATTAGTCCAGTCCTGCAAATATACACTTACATTGTTACATATGGTGAAGTAGAATGTCACTATTCATGAAATAGTTTGCCCCCGAATCCAATTTTTATTATGACATTGATAAAAGCTCAGCTTATTTAGCCTTGAAATGATGAAACATATGATGAGATAAGGGTTATTCAGCCATAAGATGATGAAGCATATGATGAAGTAGAATATAGTTCAAGGCAGTTTGTGATTCCATGTAATCGGCATGTCTTCTAGTGATGAAGCATATTATGAGGTGAAATGTCGCTTGAGGCCGTTTGTGACTCCATGAAATAGCATGCCCTACAATCCAATTTTTATTGTGAAGTTGATGAAAGCTCAGTTCAATCAGCCTTGAAATGATAAAGCAAATGATGAAATAGAATATCGTTCAAGACAGTTTGTGATTCCATGAAATGGCATGTCCTCCAGTCAGAAATTAATAATAACATTATTGAAATCTCAGCTTGTGATGAGTTAGAATTTCGCTTGAGGCCGTTTGTGATTTCATAGAATAGCATGCCCCCCAATCCAATTTTTATTGTGACATTGATGAAAGCTCAGCTTATTTAGCCTTGAAATAATGAAGCATATGATGAGATGAGGCTTATTCAGCCATGAGATGATGCAGCATATGATGGAATAGAATATAGTTCAAGACAGTTTGTGATTTCATGAAATGGCTTGAGGCCGTTTGTGACTACATAAAATAGCATGCCCTAAAATCCAATTTACATTGTGAAGTTAATGAAAACTCAGCTCAATCAGCCTTGAAATGGTGAAGAAAATGATGAAGTAGAATATCGTTCAAGGCAGTTTGTGATTTCATGAAATGGCATGTCCTCCAGTATGTCTGATTTCTACTACGATTTTAATTTGTTACCACCGGTTTCGGTTTGTTACACTATTTTGTTACTTGAAAACGGTGTAACGAACCGAAACCGGTCATAACGAAATCATAGTAGAAATCAGACAAAAGCTATTTTTATTTATCCTATAATCAATATGAATTTCTATAAAACAAATCGAATAAGTTTGAACCACCTACAATCTCAATGTGGAATTCGGGATAACTGTATACAGGAAATTTGTAGCTGAGTCTAGCAAAAGACTAGCAAAATTTTATAATCTGTAGAAGTCTACTGCTAATCGATATTGTGATTACCAATTTGGTGGATTGAGTTGAAAATTCATTGCATTCGCAAATAAAATATCTATGTGTCATTTGGAGTTAGACGCAACATAAAAATCCAGTGATTTTTGGTGATGTTAGCTGAAACCACCACAGTGTTTTATGATAATGATAATATTATAATAATAATGAGTTTATTCGCATAAAAAAATAAAATCTTACAAAACAATATAACACATGTAAAAAACAAATAAACAGAAAAATCACAGAAGTTAACTAATTTTGTTAATAATAATCATTTATGATTATATGTCTCCAAAATACAAATTGTTATCCAGTAAAAAACTTTGTATTTCATCTGTCCTCGAATTGTTATTCGGCACTTTGATGAGCTGTCGCTAATGATAGGAGGCGTTGTTAAGAACTGTTACACTATTCGCATCCAAATTTCGGATTGATCGGTTTTCAAACCATTCCTCAAAAATAGCTTCTATGTTCTTATGATAATCATTATTGCAGTTCTCAAGTTTCCTTCCACATAATTTCAAAGAATTCGGAATCCATCCTTTACTTACTCCGCAATGCACAAAATTTAGTGGCGGTCCTTTATTCGCAAGCGTGTTAGGCGTACATATTCTCGAACCATCAGTCCACCCTTTCGTAACTGTGTCGTGAGTGTCATACCAAGTTTCGTCCAAAAAGGAAATTTGCCATTGTTCTTGTCTATATTTAGTTATTTGTTCTAAGTATTTGTTACGCAATTCCACTGTTCTTCTGCTTTCCATAACTGCTTGACGTTTGTTCATTATTTTAAATCTGAATCCTAGTTTCAATGATTTTATTAGATGAACATCTGAAGGTTTTGGTAATCCTGTATCACATCGCGTCTTGCGTTCATAAAGTTTGTTTTCGACTATTTTACGTACAGTTGAGACAGAAATTTAGGTCAAATCTGATGTTGCTTGTAATAGTTTGTTTCCCTCGAAACCAAACTTGAGATGTAGATTCTAATATACATTGAAACATACTCTCTGTGTTTCAATATTAAAATGCATCCGAATCTTATTCACTGACATCTCTTTTTCGCATTGTTCAGCATCGGAAAAAGTCTGCGTTGTTATCACACTCGTTATTACTATTAGTACTTGTCCAAGGACGCCACATTTCTATCAGATAACAAAATTTCCAAGTAATTATAACTGCACCAATATCGAATTTCAACACTCAAATCGCGATCAGTTCCTGAACTGAACATTGATGACACAACGGCGATACTCATCCCCACATTCTGTATTGTTTTTTTTTGGCTTTGAGATGCCGATAGCTTCAAGTATTCACAATAAAGGTTACTTCAACTATACCATACATGTAGAGTAAATGTTATACTTCGGTAAATGACATAATCAGGAGGTAAATGACAATCAAGAGGTACCCTTTTTTTCAAAATACTCATTAAGAATTTATTATATTACTAAAAATACTACATCCTGTCTTTGGAATCCACTCAGTTAAAGAATTTTTGAATTTTCTAAATTTTTCAATATTCTGAATCTCATGAGGTATTTGCCTATATATTCTAGGTGCTAGGTAATTCACACTTCGTTGTCCAATCGTTTTGTTACATCGGGGTAAAAATATAGAATCATTCTTTCGTGTATTATGATCATGTTCATAAACTTGTAAAATAATTCTTTTATTTTTAATGAGTAATATTTTCATGCAGAACAGTTGTCTGATGTCCATGATTTGAACTTCTTCATATAAGAGATCACTGCTATAGCCACGTTTCTTGGCAAATATTAGATTTGGAATCCATTTTTGAACCATATTTACGTTTTCTCAAACAACCCCTCCCCATCCTAAAATTTCGTAAGTAATAGTGATTGTAGTAGCGAGAAATGAATCATTTTTAATTGTCTAATGTTCATAAATTTTTTGAGATATCTAAATCACTGCAGAAACCCTCTTAATTTTTTGAGAAGTTGTTGCATATGAAAATTCATAGGTCGATCTATCGTGACACCAAGGTATTTCACAGATGTTGCTGAAGGAATTTGTTTGTTCAAGCCTACTTTAATAGGGGCTAATTTCGGTAATCCGCTAATATGAGATGTAAGTACCAAGTTTTTTGTGATTAACAGTTAATTTACTGAACTGGAACCATTTCATTAGGTTAAGGTTAAGTTGAAAAACAGCATAAGCTGAACTTTGCCTTTCATCGATTGTTACACTGTGTTTAATTTGTAATTATTCGATGAATAAAGCCGATCACTATTATTATTATTATTAGGAAAATCATCTTCAAATGTTTGTTTCATATTCTGCCAAGTTGGAGAAGTGTACAAAATGGCAGTATCATTAGCGAAACTGATAGTTTGACCAGTGATATTTAAAGAAAACAGACTATTCATATAGATAGTGAAAAGAAGTGGCCCTAGCACAGTGCTTTGAGGAACACCATAGATTTCAGTTCTGGGAACACTTAGGACACCATCAATTTCAACACTTTGTTCACGATCTGATAAATAACTGGACAAAACATTGTATGTATTCCCACGGATACTATAATCATTCAGCTTTCGTAAAAGGGTTTTATGACATACAGTGTCAAAAGCCCTGTTGGCAAAAATGAATTTCAAAGTTATGCACAATATCACAGCATGAAACAACAAAATTACTGAGTTAAACCCTACCTGCGCCGGTGCTCCGAGACCAGCGGACATGGCTGCTGCAGATTGCTGAGCTGCCGCAGCCGCGGCTGCCATAGAAGCTGCACTCAAGGAACCGTAGGCTGCTGAAGGGCTGTAGTACGGTCCCATTGACTGACCCATACCGCTTGCCGCCATACCTGAAACAGACATAAGGTTCTATTGAAGTTTTGCTTTGGAAAAAACGACCTTATTCACTCTGACGAATGAAGAAGTGATTATCAATTATTAGATTTTTCATTAGAATCAGGTCAGCTGAAACAGGATAATCAGCTACTTTCCAACTCATGGATTTCTGTTTTGGAATCTTCATTACGTACACCATAGTAAAAATCAACCAGAAAGTCCACTTCCACTACTTCCATTCATAAATTGACAAAGTTCGCGGTGACCTCGAAACGAAGTGTGGAGCCAATTTTGTTCTTTCACCATAGGCGTGCGCTCATATAAAAACGAAATTTAAGGTTATTATAGAATATTTTGTGATAAATTACTCATAACCAACTACAAAAACTAAGAACATAATAACAAGAGCGAATAAACTAAACACAATATCAATTTCCGATGGTTTATTATAACTAATCCGATGCCCGTGGGACAGTCAAATCCTTCAATACTACAGCACTAAACAAGGCAGAGGACTTTGTTTCAGATCCCTGAACATGAAGTTTACATATGAAATTGAAAACATCGAGTAATCACCATTCTTGGGTGAATTCGTGATCAGAAGTAACTAAGATCTACAATTTGATGTCTAAAGGAAGAATATATTTCTGATAGCTCACAATATTGTCCACTACACAACATGGTAGGACTAAACTTTCTTGCCACACGCTTGGTACGTTTGCTTTGAATAAAGACAGATACAATATTGAAAAAAATGTTTCCAGGGACATAGCTTAAAGCAATTAGTATCTTTCGAATAGAGTAGATAATTTATTTAAGAAAAATGGAACTTGATATATGATACATTAACGAATTAGACCCCGATTGGAAAATTAAAAATCGAAAATATTTGAAACAAGCTATGAGGACTGCGACAATAAATACATCGGTCAGACTAGGCGAGCTATTAAATATAGTTTCACAGAACACTTAGCACATATCGGATTTCGAAGACCAGAGAAATCAATTGTAACTCAACACGCTTTAAAGAAAGCACAAAAAAATAATAAGATCGGTGCATGACACTAGATTTTTCTTTTGCTTTCGAAAGTCTGGCAAAGTGTGGCATTGGGACTATGAACAGTGACGAGGAACAGTACTACATCTAGTTTTCTATGTGCAGCAATAAGTTCAATTAAGATGAGATTCAACCGATCGGTACAAGTTGTATAATTTATTCGATATGAAAATTGGTGAATTTAAAGTGAAAAGAGGTCAGCTGATGGCTGGCGATTCTGTGGAACTATTATTTTCAGAAGTATTAGAATTGCATTCTCGTTTAGAAAAATTTGAAGATCCATCTGACCATTCCGATGGTCAGAATTCAATGTGAGCTAAAAAGAAAGCACATATAAATAATAAGATCGGTACATGACACTAGATTTTTCGATGCTTTCGAAAGTCTGGCAAAGTGTGGGATTGGGACTATGAACAGTGACGGGGGCTCCATTCCAAACAGTTATATGATAAAATCAGCGGGAACTTACATCAATACTACATCTAGTTTTCTATGTGTAGCAATAAGTTCAATTAAGATGAGATTCAACCGATCGATACAAGTTGTGTAATTTATTCGATATGAAAATCGGTGAATTAAATGTGAGAAGAGGTGAGCTGAAGGTTGGCGATACTAGAATTGCATTTTCGTTTACAAAAATTTGAAGATCCATCTGACCATTCCGATGGTCAGAATTCAATGTGAGCTAGAAACTGAATTGGGTGAGAGTGTAACTGACGTTGAAGATGTTATAATTCTTTGATTAGGAGATCAAGTTATATCACTTATAGGTTTTAGTAATACATTATCTAAAGCTAATTCAATTGTTCATACTAGACATGTAATAAAATCGATATTTAATCATATTAATGCTCCATCTGATAATGCTGTCCCGAATAATGTTGTACCATCAAACAATATTTTTGCAAGCAATCACCATCATCCAGATACCAGCCTATTTCATAGATTTTGTGAGTTTTCTGACTGCCAAAAAGAATGACGCTGGTCCTAATAGATCTCCTTGTTGTACTCCACTCTCACATGAAATTGAATGTCACCATGATTGAGATAACTTTTGAATTCTTAACATTTGGTCAAGAAATGGAAAGAGATGAGGATGCGAATCTGTAATTGTTTTCAATAATATTCTTATGGGTACAGTTTTTAATGCATTTCTGAATCAACTTTCAGGAGAATGTTTGAAAACGGGTTGGGATGTTGATCCACATATCTTCTCACAGCATGAGCAACATCCTCACAGCTTCCAGGTGTACCAATGCCCAATTGGGTTGAACGAAGCAAATTAGATTTTTTATGATATTGAAACACTACAATTTCACAACATGACGATGGTGAAATTTGCCTACAGCAATTGGCTAAATTCTTCTCAAGTGCACAAAGCGATGTTTCATGTAAAATAGGACATATTTGAGTCTTGATTTCAACCAGACTAACAGGTCAGAGAAGATAGAGGTTTATCTCCAGAGAATCCGGCACTATGAGTCAGTAAATCTTGTGTGTGAGATGGTTGAAGAGAATCCAGACCTCCGACAGAAACAACTCGGAATGATCCAATAGGTTTCAAAACAACAGGATTGGTAACTTGTAGAGGGGCAGCAATAGGTGTCGTTATTATAAATGCTTCACCGATCGAAGCAGGAAGATTTCAATAAATAACCTATTGGGATCATCATTAGAGACAGTACTCAATATTGTCATTGTGTGGAAAATAAGCTTCTTCAATTGGAACTGTGGATGGTTCAGATGGTAGCATTAGAACAGTTTGTAGAGAGTAATATGCAGTAGGTATCTTTTGTTCAGGTTTAACCATGAAGAAGTTCGGAATATAGTGCTCATTTTGTCTTACTATAACTGTATCTCATACATGCATTTTGAAGGCTATTCCTGTCCCTGGATTTTAATGAAGGTCTGAATATTATAAAGTTATATGCAGGATCAGACAGAATTAAAGAGCCACACAATCGGAGTTCAATATTTCCGTTAGGAATATTCTAGTGCATATACAGCATTTTTAGCTTTTAATAAGCATTTTTCAATAGATAACTCATATGCATGTCAAATCTCAGGTTAAGATCAATATACACACCTAAATTTTTATTATTAGAAGTTTTGAGTTACCATTCGTAAGCCTTCACGAACACTCAGTATAACCTTGTTTGTTCTTGCAATTATGAATGGCTGTAGAATTCCGTTATTTTATCGTTCGATTTGTTCATTGTGTGGACGTCAATTAGTATTTTTCAGCGACTGTATACATGGTAACTAGATAATATAATATATTAATAAAAATGACACATGAAATGCTATTATAGAAACTGCATATGATTATATTATTAACAAATAATGAATTTAATGCGACAGCGCACAAAATACAGACTATTGTAATTATGTTGCCTATTCAAAGCATTCCTCTCTAATGAAAAAGTATTGAGTTATCCTTCAAACAAATTAATCTGTTGGAAAAATAATTGATGTTTTTTGTGCGGATTTCTAAAGAATTCTCGAGGGAAATATCGATATAACAGACAGAGTTTCCTTCACACCGGTGAGTCTATATCGAATTTAATTAAAACTTCTCGGAGTTCCAGGATATAAACTTTTAATTGGTGCTGAAATGTCGACAAAAATTTGTCGTACAAGTGTTAATGCCATTGTCCAATTAGTACAAAGGCTTGCGACTAACTTAATGACTTTGTTGAAATAAAATTTTATTGTCCTGTTTGCTTACATCTTCCGACAAAGATTTTACGCATCAACAATGGGAAATATAATCGAATAAAAGGAATGTCATGAATAGATTACACGATAATCTTGAGTTATACTCAATGGTAGGAACCAATCTAGTTAGTTCAAACGTTTATTTTCACTAATATTGTTTCGAAATGATAGGAAAACTACTGGTTTGAGAGGAAGTTTGAGGAAACGGCGTTCATAACAAATATTCAATTAAAGGCTGGCTTATATCTCAAATATAAACTACACAAAATGAATATGGAGACACATCCTTAAAATCCAATAAGTAAAAAAAGGGTGTGTACTCCGTACTAATTCTCATCATGTTCCATTCGGTTGTTGTTTACTTTTTTCACTTCTTTTTGTACTTTTAGCTACAAAATCATTAATATGAAAAATTCTGTATTTAGTTTCACTTTATTTTAGTTCGTGATAGGTATTAAATTTTAAAATTTAAACAATGAATAAATTGATGGGTGTAGCCGTTACTATGTGGTAGGAGATCATGATGAAAAGAGAAATGAATGTTGATGTATTGGGAAGAAGGAGGATACGTCGGGGGTACCTCAACGAATTTCGAGTTGCTAGAGCAGTGCCATTGATCAAAGTAGGGTATTCAAGGCGTCGGGTAGCCCAAAAGCTTAATGTGAGTCATTCTGCGGTTTCCAGAGCCTGGAATCGCTACCAAATTTGCGGCATAGTAAAAAGAGCTCCTTATTCCAATTGACAAAGGACAACAACCCGCAAAGAATATCGTTTGTTACGACTTTGGGCAATTAGGGGTCGCACCGATTCTGCTAGAAAACTGCAAAATCGCCTTATATAAGCTACGGGAACGCGAATTTAGAACCCAATGATTCGAAACGAAACCGACTTCACGAAGTACAACTTCATGCAAGACAACCTGCTAGAGCCCCTAGATTAACTCCAGCTCATCGAGGAAATCGTAAAAACTTATGTCAAGAGCATCCTAACTGAAATTTAGAGCGGTGGGCCAATGTAATGTTTATAGATGAGAAAAAAAATTCATGTTGTTCAACAAGGACGGACGTTTTCGGATATAGAGACGTCCCGGTGAACGCTATTTGGATGACTGTGTGCAAGAAATTGTTCCATTTGGAGGTGGATCGATAATGGACACACGGACCTTGTGATATTTCGGGAAGGGACTTTAACGGCGGCCGTTACATAGAGGAGATATTGGAACCTCATGTCGTTCCACAC